GACCGCTGCACCCTTGAAATGCAGGCTCGCATCTTGGACGCACGTCGCGCAGAGTGGAGCAAATATAGGAGCTTCAATGCTGCAATGCCCATTCGAGGCAAAGAATTAGAAGAGTTGCTTCAAGAAGGGCATGTTCCCATCCCCATGCAATGGGTAGATGTGGATAAGCAGGCTCATCTGACAGGTACGCCTGAACATCAGCCGGAAAACAGATCTCGCTTAGTTGCTTGTGGCAACCACGAACAAGTGAGCCGTGACGCACAGGGCATCCGCTGCGACAGCCCCACAGCTGAAACCGAAGGTCACATGTTGATTGCGAGCTTCGCTGCAAGCCATCGCGTGACCCTGTACGCGGCAGATGTTTCCTCAGCGTACTTCCAGAGTCAGCCAATGACGAGGTTACTGTTGCTCAAACAGCCACGCGGTGGAATTCCAAGTCCGGATGTTCCACCGAATGCAATGTTGGTTGCACGCCTTCCGATCTATGGCACTATCGACGCAGGCAGAGGCTTTTACTTGAGGATGAATGGTGAGATCACCAGTGCCGGGTTGAAATGCGCATCACACCTGCATTGCACTATTTGCACAATCCCAAGGGAAAGTTGATTGGCATGATCGCGACACATGTCGACGATCTGTTGTATTGCTACCTTGATGAAGGCAAGAAGACAATTGAAGGTATCCTCAAAAAGTTCACGATTGGCAAAACCGAGTCAGGCAGATTCCGATACTGCGGACTGCAGTTCATACAACATGAAGACTACTCCGTGAGCAATTCTACAAGTGAGAACTGCAGAACAGTGAAGCCGATCGAAATCGACAAGCATCGGAAGCTGTCGGAAAAGGTGACAGAGAAAGAGTTGACAAGCCTCAGGAGCGTTGTTGGTAGCTTGGCTTGGGTCGCACGTTATGGAAGACCAGACCTTTGTTACCGTGTGAATGAGATGCAACGTGCATGCAGCGCAAAGGCAACAGTGCAAGACTTGAAGAACGCCAACAAGGTTGTTGAATTGGCACTTCAAGGAAGTGACTTGCAGATCACCTTCAAGAGTGATTGGATTGACTGGAGCGATTTGGCAGTTGTGACGTTTAGCGACGCAAGTTTCGCAAACGAAGAGGGCTTTAAGAGTCAGCAAGGCCGCATTCACTACATAACGAATGCGAGCAGCCTCAAGGAAGGCAGTCACAAAATGCATCTGATCAGCTTTGGTTCAACTACCCTCAAAAGGGTGTGTCGTGCTACATTGCAAGCAGAAGCATATGCTCTGCAAACTGCAGTCGAACATGGAGATCGTCTACGATGCCTGATCTGTGAGTTGACCGGACGACTTGATGACTTCAAGAACTGGCACGAGGAAACTCAGAGACGAATGGCGCATGTGTACTACACCGATTGCAGGAGCTTATCAGACCATTTACTGGCAGAGGTTCCGAGAAAAGTACAAGACAAAAGGCTTGGCATAGAACTTGCTGCATTGAGGCAAGGAGTGTGGACTGTGAGTGGCGAGAGAACATCGGAGATCTACAGTCCCTATGGTGACCACCTGAGGTGGATTGAGACATCAAAGCAATTGGCAGACCCGTTGACCAAGAGCATGAGGCCAGACTACCTCCTCAAGACACTGGAAAGTGGACTTGTCAATGTCGAGAACAGTGGCGCATGCGAGAAGGGAGCCAAGATGGAAGATGAGGAAGTCTCACCATGACTTGTTTTTGAGAATTCGACATGGAAAGGCATGGTTTTCAGCCCCACGGGGAATAGAGTTGCTTGGCTGCCTTTGTACAATTTGAACTGTAAAGCCCGCAACACACCTGTAGATAAGACGGGTGTGAATTTCACCGATTGTGGCCAGGGTGTATTGCGTACAGTTGATGCACCGTCGCTGCTGTTTCGGCTGAACAGGGCCCTTGAGTCGATTCGCTGCTGCGAAAAGGAACCGTGCGAGATTCAAACTACAGTTCTTTTCAACGTAGATGATGTATATGACTGTATATGGATCCCATGGCCGCACGTCGTTTGCTGCTTTCGCTCTTCAACCGCGACAAGCGACTCGCTTGCGAGGTGTCTCACCGAGTCACACCGGTGACTCGCGGCCAGCGGCACTCCTTGGTGCTTTGGGTGAAGCTAGACACAGGAGCGCACTCCACCCTGCGCCCAGCAGTCCCAAGAAATGCTTCACTCCTTCACGTGCATGGAAGACAACCACTGCTTTGAAGAGGAAGTATTAAGTGTGATCAAAGTGTTGGTCAATTTTTTTGGTGTATACCTCTGGGTGACATTTGGGTGTTGCACTCTCCAAGTTGGCAGGCGAAACCCACCCTGCTGGTGAAGACGATCTCATGCCCACATGCAGCCTGTCTTTGTTCGGGCGGAGCCAATGGACCAGCTTCTCTTGATGAACTGCTACTACTATATAGTAGCAAGAAACTACTAGGAACAAAGGGCATCGCTTTTAGTAACAAGGGCATTACTACTAGTAGCAAGAAGCGTTACTAATAGCTTCTTGTTACTAGTAGTATGGCCAGGAGCTACTAGTAGCGTCCTTGCTACTAGTAGCGATGCCCTTTGTTACTAGTATAGCTTCTAGCTACTATAAAGATCCAATATCATGCAAATACCACGCATGTGTTCCCACAAAGTCCCTGTTCCTCGCATCATGAGGCAAGCTACAAGTGAATCATCCAGACGGCCGAGAGCTTTCCTTGCACTGGAGCACCAGAGATGGTTCACCCGAACATTCTGCACGGGCCTTTGGTGAAGCACATGGATTTCCTCAGAATCTGGGCTGAAGAGATATGGGCCTTCTCCAGAACGGGATGTTTGCCTGCAGGAGTTCTTACTTTTTCCCATCTTTCAAAAAAATATGTTCAAAATGTGAAGCTTGTGGCATCGCTTCAAACATATGGGCATTAATAGGAACGATTTCGACAAGGCAGCGCTCACTAGAGAGAGGCGCTTGAGGCGGATTTCAATGATTGACATCAGAAGACATCAGAAATGAAAGTTCAAAGGAATAACTGACAATAATTGTGTTTGTCGGCTTCATAGGTTGGAGGCCATTGCTATTAGGTTGGAGTCCATCGCTAGTAGGAAGAATCACATGTGGTTGGAGCCCTTTCGCTCACCCCATCCCGTGAGGAAGCATTTGGACTCCTTCACGCGTCAACTGAGCCAAGCAGTGCGAACGAACTGTGTTCAACTCTAGGCAGTTCATTTGCGACTGGTCTGGTCCGCTGGCTGGACCAAAAGAGCGCCTGCAGTATCACGAGCTGTGTGGAACTTCCTGGGTCATCAATTTTGCAGAGTTTTTCATAAAATACATGTTCCTGGTGCCCACATTTCAGAATGCTTCCAGCAGAACTCCAATGCACATGGTCCAGGAGGTTCCGAAAAGGTTCCACGAATCCGACGACAAAGACACGACACAGCACATGCGACGAAAATATGCGCGAACATCACCACGTGTCTGAAAGTTGTTACGATCTCTTCCTGGTGTTCCATGGGAGCTTGGTAGATATATATATATATATATTAGATATTGTTTAAAAGCCACACAAGGTCTAGTTGAGAAACATTCTTCCATGCGCTATACACTTCTTCCATCAAGTCTATTCAAGAAGCATGCGGTTGGTCTAAGACACACGGTTCTTTCATGTTCTTTCCTCGTTTGTTCCATGGCCTGCCATCGGAGGAGCAAGCACGGCTGGTGCGTGAGGAGGCAGAACGTGAGAGACAACGAGTGCAAGAGGCGTGACCCCACCACAGACTGGAAATGCAAACTGGTTCACTTCCAACCACACACTGGTTGACAGCTGTAGCACCCCTCGCAGTTGTTCTACCCGGTTCGACATTTTGTTATGTGGCTCCGTGGTATGGAACAAGACTAAATCTGCATGAGAGCAAGGGATGCTTTGTCCCCCAAGGCATACCCTCTTGGACCGGCTGAAGAGCCAAGACATCGATGGGTGATCTCGTTGAGACTCGAGCAACTTGAGATTGGATTCTCCCATGGAACACCCTTCGCTGGTCAAAACCATGCCGAGCCGATGGAGTTTTCGTCAAGATACCCAGGAGCAAGAGCAGCTTGCTCGCGAAGAGGCGGAACAACAGATGCGAGAGGAAGAGGAGGCCAACAGCTGCGACGAGTTTGGAGCTCCGACAAGACATTTCGCATGTTTCGCAACGGAAGATTGAGCTGGTCGGCCCACTAGAAGTAAAGGAAGTCCCTTTTGGGGTTAGTCTTTGACTCCCAGATTTCCTGTATTATCAAGCATGCTCATTCAGCTGCTCTCCACTGGCATATAGGGTCAATGTATTCACTTGGTACAGCTTGGACCGCGCTGCGCTCCGTGCACCGCGCGCTTGCCAGGCCCGGATTGCGGAGCTGGAGGAGATCCGGCGCCAGGCTGCAGAAGAAGAGCGGCACAGGCGCCTCTTCGGGTGGGCCGAAGAAGGGGTGTTGGGCCACGGCATGAGATAGTAATAGGAATGATCCATATGTGCTGTCATGTATACGTCATGTAGACTGGAATATCATCTTCAAAGGTTCAGGTTATTAATCAAGAGTCTACATTAAAAAATATGGGGTGATTTTGTGGTTGTTTCTTGGATAGCCTACTTGGCAGTGTTGTTCGAGTCGCCATGTCCGCAGAGAGAGCCAACCACCTGAGCCCGTTTGAGTCCGATCTTGCTAGGTGTTTAACCCATGGTTCTTAAAACCCAATTTGGAGTTATGGTTTGGGGCGGTTCAGCATGGCAGCTAGGCTGGCCAGATGGAACGGAACCTGCCAAGAATCGGGTGCGGAAGAGTTTAATTTGTACCATGTTTTGGACTGATTTGGTGTCAGGGCTGCACTTTTCTTACAGTCATATTGTATGCCGTAGCCATCCTCTTGGGAGACAAAGTGTAGATCATGGACAAACTACAATAGGGCAAACACTGCCGCAAAAACGCTTCGCGCAATGCGTTGCCTTTCATTCACCGTCCTCCTACATGATACACACTCGAAAACAGGCGCCAGTAAAACGGGGGGCCGCCGCTCAAGACCGGTCCTTTCACAGCGAGTTGCAGTGAAGTCTCAAGCAAACTGGCACGAAATCCCGGTTTAGCTCTCGTCTGGTTCATAATCCAAAGCCGGTCATGAGAAAAAGAAGAAAAGGATGGTGAAAAAGCACCCGCGAAGCTCCCAGGGGCTCGGCTTCAGATGCCCAGGAGATTGGGTCAGGTGGCGGTGTATCTGGGTTCGTTTGCTGATTCGGAAGGGTGTTTCAGGCGGAAAGAACGGTGTAATCAATATCGATTAGGCACGCCACCCTCACTCCTCTACCGGTGGGGTGGTGGGTCATGTCTGACATTGACTCCGTGATCTGGCACAGCCTTTGAAGCTCAAGAACAGCAGCTACTGGAGGAGCCAACACAATCTCCACTGGTGGCCAAAGACTGACCCTTGAAGCCGACAAAGATGTGTTTCCTTGATTTTCCTCTCACCCTGATCCTGAGGCCATACTAGAGGACAGCTTCGCAGCGGACTTCGATTTGCAAGTCATCGAGGTCTCGGATGTGGACGAGGTTTCGGGAGATGGGTTCGGATTGCCAGGTTGTTAGGACTGTTCTTTTGCTTCAGATTCTTGCTGAAATCAGTGGATCTGTGAGAGTCTCCCGGCACATGAACACCATTTTGCGCCATCCAATTCTGCTTCCTCCCCAGGGATGTTTCACTATAAAAAACTCATGATATCCATTGGGGAAAGTCTTAGATCAGCTAGTTCCCAATGCAAGCCTCGCGTTCCGGTAGCTCGGGAGGTGCCCAAGGAGTGTGACTCCAGGAGCCCTGTCACTGGAGGGGTGGAGGTTTCCAGCGCCCTGTGGCTGATGGGTGATCCGACAAAAGGGAAATGTTTTGGATGGGGGATCACTTGCGTTTGTTCGTGGATTTTCCCCAAACAGTGTGGACACTTAGGGGTTTTTAAGGTAGGGTAAGCACCGGGGCTAGATCGAGGTGACGACGCGGGCGTGGACGGCTACTTCGCTGCTATTTACCGTATACATTGATGCCTCTCGAAATCGTCGACGTGCACTCCGACTGCGCAGGCTCGCAAAATCTGGGTGCCGGCGGCGGGTGCTTGTCGCGACTGCGCTCTCGTTGTGGCGCCGTGCACGTTTTCGCACATGGTGCTCACTTTTCGTGGCAGGCACGAGGGAAACCTCGTGTTTTCCTGGTCCAAAGTCGACTTTTCGTGACAGGTGCAAGGGATCGGAGCGGCTTTAGACCGAAATACAGCTTTCGTGGCAGGTACAGCACTTTGGACTATGGCGGTGATCTTCGACGAGCTCTGGTTTCGTGACAGGTGCAGTGAATCGTGACTTTTGGACATGTGGCTTGTTTGCCACTTTCGTGGCAGGCACAGCATTTTGTGAACATCGAAGTGTGGCCGGCGCAGCACTTGTATGGTCAACCTCGAAGTGCAGATTTCGTGGCAGGCACGGCACTTGGTGAACCTTGAAGTGCAGATTTTGTAGCATTGTAGCAGCACAGCACTTTGCGAACCTCGAGGTGCAGATTTCGTGGCAGGCACAGCCCTTGTTGGTGAACCTTGAAGTGCAGATTTTGTGGCAGGTACAGCACTTTGCGAACCTCGAAGTGCAGATTTCGTGGCAGGCACAGCACTTTGTGAACCTCAAAGCGCAGACTTCGTGGCAGGCACAGCACTTGGTGAACCTTGAAGTGCAGATTTTGTAGCAGGCACAGCACTTTGCGAACCTCGAAGTGCAGATTTCGTAGCAGGTACAGCACTATATGTGAACCTCAAAGTGGAGATTTCGTGGCAGGCGGCGCCTCGAAGAGCAGATTTCGTGGCAGCAGCACTTTGTGCTCGAAGCGCAGATTTCGTGGCAGACGCAGCACTTTATGCTCTCAGACGCTCTCTCACTCTCACTCTCTCACCCTCACTCTCTCACACATACTCACACACACACACACTCACGCTCACGCTCGCTCTCATCCACACTCACTCTTCACTCACACTCACATTCACACTCACGCTCACTCACATTGACATTCACATTCACACTCACACTCACAGTCACACTCACTCACTCACCCACTCACTCACTCACTCACCTTCCTCACTCACTCACTCACTCACTCACTCACTGACTCACTCACTCACTCACTCACCACCACCGCCACCGTCACCACGATCCCCACCTTCATCACCACTATCACCTCTCTGGACCCCAGTGCGTCTAGATCTCTAGACTTTCTGCTTATAGACCTCACACACACTGTTTGGGTCTCTTGCCGAGATAATTGTTCTTTCTTTGTCCGCAGTGGGGTCCTAAGAGGTGGGTCTGACCATGAACTGCTCAACCGTCGTAATCGTTCCTGAGTATCATTCGACAAGGCCATCAATTCACCGCATCATGAATACTCTCTCTCTCTCTCTCTTTGTCTCAGTTTGGTTCAGTTATTGGTTCTAAGGAGATCATCCTAAGGTCCCACTTGGCTCCACCAGACTGCCCAGGACGGATGGCCCGAAGATCGACCTGCCGGGGCCAACGGTGGAGGTGGGGAGAGACGAAGGGATCCAACACGAGGAAGGCCAGGAGCGCCCCTAGTAGCGTCCTTGCTCCCAGTAGCGGTGCCAGGAGCCCCTAGTAGCGACGCCCTTGTTCCTAGTACTAGTAGCTTCTTGTTCCTAGTAGCGCAAAGGGGCTGAAGATGTGCCATTTAGAGATCAAGTTGCCGTGTAGATGAACCAAACTTTTTTTTCGGTTCACGCTTGGCAGGGCGGTTGCTGTTCCTATGTGGACATGTCTTCATCTCCCTTCCACAGGTCTTGGAAAGCTGGAGTGAAGAAGCCTCCTCCTCTAGCGACTTCGAGGTGGGGTGGGGCATGGTGCGGGCCACAAACAAGATTGGCCGAAGTTGATGGCTCCATGAGAGCTGCAGATCGTTGTAGCGATGGAAGCCCAGTTCGTAGCGTCCGATCGCTCCTGGTGTGTCACAATAAGCCGCCCAACCGTTCGCTATAGAGATCGTCAAAAGACATATGCCGGCACCATGGGGCAAGGCGTCACCGGAGAAAGACCATGCCAAAGCGGAAGGAGATCGTGTTGAATTGGGAAAGCAAGTATCATCGGCGGGAGGGGAATGCAATCGAGGGGTACAATGCGTTGCGCGTTCATGTTTTTCACCCATCAGATGTTGATACTCAATCTTGGAACCTGACTGTTTGCAAAACTGGGTTCAAGATGACCGAGGAATTGTGTTCGGGCGGAATTGGCCACGGAGTGCCCTGAATAAATACAACACTATTGACTATTACATACAACATATAAATATAACGAAAGCCAGCCGATAGGCTAGGCTGGATAGGCTGGAGTTGGGATGGGCGAACGAAGTGAGTATCAGGGGTGTGGAGGGGTGGTCGCACAGCGGCCAATTTCGGAGGGTGAGCCCAGAGCCTGGTGGGGGAGAGCGAAGAAAACTACTTGCAGTTTGGTTGTGATTCAGGTGATGTAATTGACGGCCATTAGTACATCATTAGCATCATGAGGGGCTCAGGAGGGAGGCATTCTAAACACCAGGGGTGGGAGTTCATGACAACGGGACGTGAAAAGTGGTTGGAACTCGTCCAGGACAGGGAAATGCGCGTCTCTGGTGTCGATTGAAATAGTGTTCGACCAGGGGTGAAAGGGAGGTGCGTGTCTCTTAAGACACTGAGGGCAGGACAGGGAACAGAATGCCGTGGGGTAGGTGGAAGAGAAGCAGAGCGGAGGAGGACGTGGTAGGAAAAGAGGGTCTGCAAGAAATCTTGGAGTTGCTTGGGGGTGCCCTTTTTGAAGGTGAAGACGCCTGTCAACCATACGCAAAAGGGCGCCTCTTATGGGGTGGGAGTTCATGTGGAAGACATGCATAGCAGAGGAGGACGTGGTGGGCAAAGACTGTTTGCAAGAATTCATTGAATTTCTTGGGGGTGCCCTTTTTATGATGAAGACGTCCCCTGACCATACGCAAAAGGGCACCCCATATGGGGTGCGAGTTGATGCGGTCCGTTGCGGGCTGAGAGAGAACAGATGCCGTTGATGCAGTTGCAGGATGTCGTCGAGCGACCTCAGCTACTTGACCAGGATTTTGGCGCCATGGGGTTGCAGCGAGCGGATCATTTTTAATTTACCCCTAAGCCAGCTTTGCGGATGAAGCCACTTGAAACGAAATCCAATACCAGGAAAAATTTTTGGGGGTTGGTTTTTGGGCACCATGGGCAGCCATGGGCAAAACATGTATTTGATGTTTTTTGTATCCTTTTGCTTTTGGTTTCTTCGGGGAACCGCCCCAGATTTTCTTCACAACATGGTTTGCAGAGCAAGGTCCATTCCAAAACAAAACTAGCGATGGCCTCCCACCTACTAGCGATGGCCTCCAACCAAAGAGCAGGCCAGGAACCCCACTAGTAGCGTCCTTGCTTCGTTCGTAGCGATGGTTTCGTAGGTCTCGTTGTCCCTCCCCCCACCTCGGTCTTGAGGTCTCAGGTGTGCTCAGCTACTCGGTGGCGGAACCAGAGGCGGAGCTGGCGAATGCACCCAGCCAGGAGGTGCCACAGCCAGAGGTGCCACAGGAGCGGCAGAAGCAGGTGGAGCCGCCAGTTGCAGATGAGAGTCCAAAGCCGCTAAAGCAGCCGGTGGGACCTTCAGGTGGGGCATGGAGAGCTGGATTCAAGCGGTTCAAGGGACCACTAGAGTAGAGGCAGCAATCATTTCCCAGATGTTTTGCGGCATGGATCAGTATCTATTATAAGTATCCTTCATCTTGCCAGTGCCAATGCACGTGTTATTGGTTCCTCCCATCTTTGAGGAGCATAAAAAACGGACCTGTCAAAAGAGGAAGTCTCTTCGTTCTACTTCATTGTCTCAATTTCGGCAAACCGACAAACACTTCTGAGGCCAGGATCAGGAGCGAAAAAGCAAGGAAGTTCCGACTCCGAGCCAAGCTCCTGTCCACCAGCCCACGGTTGCTGGCAACAGCAGCAATGCCGTGCCAACGGTGCCATGGCACCCGGAGAGATCGTACGGAGTTTCCATCACAGGCGAAGTTGAAGGATTTGTACCAGATCCCATTCTGGTAGTTTTGGTTTCTCCATCCCTTTTTCATGTCCTTTTGCCTATAGATACTATATAGATTAGTTGTAATTAGTTCTTTGCATCTCGCTTCTTCGGCCCAAACCCCTTCGGCTCCTCAGTTTAAGGGTTGCTCCTCGTCGCGCCCCAACCTTTCCCGAGCTCCGCCAAGGTGGAGAGGATTGACACTAGCGCAAGCGAATCCAATGTGGACCTGGCACAGCCTTCCAATGCATGCCAAAAGGCCAAGGTCAGTGTTGGGACCGTCGTGCAAGAGGAGCGGGCCATGATTTGCGATCAAAACACACATGTTAGTCATGTTTGTTCAGAAGGAGAGGCCCTGAGGGTGAACTCTTCAGCATTTTTTGGATAATTTTTTTCACCTCAGTGCTTGGAAGTGCACTGCCACAGGCTTCAGAAATGAGTCTTACGCATGTTTTAACAAATTATCCTGACAATACAACGAAAGAACAAACAAATGGCCATGCTCCTATTTGTTGTTGGCCATGCTCACATGTCAATCTACTCAGGTCCGGCACTTCGCATTGCCGCCCATGTTGTACAAATTCGGACGTGCCTTGTTTGATCACGTTTAATCAACTGGAACTACTTTTGTTGTTTTTTCGTGGCCAGACCGAATTCTCTGGACTCTGTCTGAGCCGGCTGAACTGGACAGGAGCAGGTGAGATCTGCGGAGGCTGCACTGAGATGCACTGAGCTGGCAAGTCAAAGTGAGAGCAAGCATGATGGCGGAATGATGCCAGCTACTTGGCTTTTAACTAGAGACCCCAGGTGCCTCTAAGCCCTAGGGCTCTCATTCTTGATTTCTAGAGTTTTGAACATCCATGCAAGGAAGAACTTGTAGAGTTGCACACGTGCCCCACCAAATTCCAATACAAATAGCGGCATTCCAGGATGTTGAAAAAGCTGCACTTTCTCGTGTCATCATGGCAGACTGTTCGCTGCGAAAACGAATCACAGGCACAGCAGCTAGTTCAGCCTGACGTTGGAATGAATAACATATGCCGATGCTCAAGTCATTTTCCAGCCCGACTGTTGCATTCATTGTAGACTTAAAGGAGTTAGTTACCTTATTTCTCAGGAAATTGGGGGGTCCTTTTTAGCAATCTTCAATCTTTAACCACTTAGTGAGTTTGGAAGCCGATGAACATTTGGGGTCTCCATAGCTCATGGCTTTGGGGAGGTGCCTGTGGGAGCCGCCAGCTATTCAGCCGCCCATGAAGCAGAAGCAGTGCTTTTGGCGAACAGATCAGAGGCAGAAGTCTTTGCTTCCTGGCGCCAAGAGGTTTTGGATTTGAGTCAGATTGGGTGGTGGGTCGGAACATGGTTTCCATCCCGCTTGGGCATAGTGATCCAAATTTAGTAACATGTTGGGGGATGGTTTAAGTCAGTATCTCCAAGTGGGGTTGAGGACAAAAGTTGCTAAAAGGGGTGGCTCAAGGTTCCCCCGTTGATGGAACCAGCCCCTTCCTGAAGCAGGATTGGACCCCAATCCCACCTCCCCTCAGTCGAGGAAGAGGCTGTGCAGAGCGACTTGGAGACACGACCCGGGGCAGCGACACCCGCCACCTGGCCCGGTGTATTTTTTTGCTGCCATGATGAGAAAGCATCTTGGGGTGTTGAAGTTCAAGCTTTCAAACTTCTTCATATTTTGAGTTTAGAGCAAGAACCATTTGATTATTTGATTTGTTCAAGCCTTAACATAATAAGAATTTCATAGAATTTCCGCACGGAATGGGCATGACCAATTGTACCCACACCGCCTGATTGGCGAATGTCACCTATGAGTTCTTTCTGAGTGTGAGTCTGTTCATCCTTCAGTTCCCAGAGTACACCTGAAGAGGGTCCAGTTGCTCCTCCGGCCTGAGTAGTCCGACGGCGCAAGCCACCGCAGAGTCCAGCAACGACCCTCTGTCGTTTGTTTCGGCTGGTGCCGGGGTCCCGCAACCTGTCGGCACCGTGGTGCTACGCAGAACTCGCCAAGAACGACCCAGTGGGTGACCCTGTGGGCCAAGTGCAGACAACCGATGCAGAGCCTGTGAGAGACCTTCCAAGTCACGCATTGCGCAAACCGCTTATAGAAATTTCCATGAACAAAGGTTCTCTGACAAAGAAATTTCTCTACGTTAGACCGCCTCATGCCAAATATAATGAATTAATCAAAGCAACGCATGTTCTGTTTGAACCATAGACGGATGTCAGCCATGCAGTGGAAGAGTTGCCAGGAGCAAATGGAAACAAAAACAGAATGAAGTGTCGACCTAGATATGAAAAATATTTGGAGGAAGGACACTTAAGAAGACGGTGAGTCATCAAACTTGCTTAGAATTGTGGGTTTGAAAGTGAACACGTTACCATTTGTAGCTTGATGACAACTATGAGGGACATGACCACACAAATCACGTACAAATTGCTTACAGCGAGCCTCTATGATTGATGAATGATAGAAAGAAAATGATGAACATCCGTTTTCCCGAACGTCCCATGAAGACCTTGTTGCATTGTCCAATAGTTTCGCACACAGGAAACTGTTCCTTCAAATTGTTTTCAGGCATCTTTAGTAGTGGTTTTGCGTTGTGGATTTTGAATTTTTCATGAAGGAGTTGTGCTTCTTTGGCAAGCCTGGAATTTGGGTGGCTTGTTTGGTTACTGCGCTGAAGTGTTCTGTGCGTGGCTGAACAACAATATTCCCATTG